GGAAACGCTGAAGAAGAAAAGCTTACAAAAAGGCAAAGAGTGTCAGCGCTTTATCGTGTGAAAATAAAATGAACTAGAGCAGAGTACAATCACCAATCAGAAAGTACGACAATAGTATCAATTCTATAAAATTCCAGGTACTCATATCATGCTCAGTAGTAGTAACGCAATGTAAATCCTATCATAGCTCCTAGAACTGAAATACTTCATGACAAGCGTTGAACTAAAAACCTGTGGCAAGACTCCATGTTTTAGTAGAAGCAAGTCTCTGAAGAGAATACGTGAAATTAGCACTGTTAATAATAAAAGTGGTCAAAGTAGAAAATCAAAACTCTTCCTAAATGATGTTAAGTATCTCAGAGTATGTTCAATATGAGATTAATGATAATCGACTTTATTCATAGGTGGCGTGCGAGTCTTTTGTTTGGGTATACTATTCTGTCACATATACTGTTAAATATTTTTGAATTGGTGAGAATTCTTCTCTGTAAGAGACAATTTATTTAGGGAGGCTGTTTGTTTGCCCACGACAGGTGTTAAAGGAGGTTATCGCTCGGGCGGTCAAAGATGAACTATTACACTTCAGTTGAGAAGGTAAAAAGGCAGATTTTATAGATTTTTGGGCATAATACAGGATATTTGGAACGATATTCCGAATTGTATATTGATAAACTACAAACGAAAGAATGAAAACAGGGTTCAATGCAGTGTGTAAAACAAAAGACACACATAAAACATATTGTGCATTGTACAACTTATTTACGTATATTTTGTATTTTCCATGATAATGGATTGTACTATTGATAAATTCAGCATCTAGTTGTTATTAGTCGTTGTTTGTGACTTTTTTGGAGCGTAATGCTTGTGTTTTTTTTTTATAATTGTTTCTATTTATATTCATTTGTTTCGCCCTCCAGTGGCAGAGCGGTATGTCTGCAGATTTACAACTCCAGAAACCCATGGTAGGCAGAGCACAGATAGCCCATTCTGTGGCTTTGTGCTTAACTTCAAACAAACAAAAATGTATATTCACACATCGAGATTGTTGTTGTTGAATGATATAAACCTAAAGGATACAAATTTTTGAAGAAAGGGCTCTTCTCCATAGAAGTGAAAAATACAATTACAAACAGAGTATTTAGAGCAACAATATGCTGTAATATCACATTCCAAGCCAAGTATCGTCAGGTATAGTTACATAAGGGAATCCTCTGACCCAAAACGATTGTCATCAAGTGGAGTATATCTTTGATTCAGTTGATAAAATAATAAACAAAGATCTGAAGACGACAAAGGCACACAGATTAAAACCTCATAAGTTTCATCTATATCTCGAAGTTAATGGCTGCTTTCATAAGTTTGTATTGTTTGTTTTTTGAATTTCGCGCAAAGCTTCACGAGGGCTT